AGTTTCTTTTAAATATATGGCAAGAAAAATCATAGGAAAGTTTTCCAATAGTGTCTTGAATTTTACTTAACTTTTGATAATCATATTCTTTTAAAAGCTGGATTTTGGTTACTTTTTTCCCTCAGAAGCTACTGAGCGAAACGGTCTTGAAATCATGACAATTGAGTTGCTGTGGTAACCCTTTAAAGTCCTTTGGGACTTTCTTGAGAAGACAGAACAAGGTTATTCTGTACATCTGTTAATTAGCACCACTGTCTATTGATCAGGCCAGCTTTTTATTTTTGCAAGAAACAGATAAAATATGAAATGGTGAAACGTATGTAGATTTATGAACAATTAAAAACCCTTATTTAATCTGGTTGTTAGCACTATGTATACGTTTAACATGGCATATCTGTCAATATTACTATCTGTCAGAGATAGCATGAGTGCTGCCACTTGTTCCAGTTAACATTTCGGAAGTTGGAGGCAGCTGAAGATCAATCATCAAGCTAGTTTGTGGGTAATCCTTTAGACACTATCCTAAGTTTTGTTATGCTTTATAAATAAACCAATACTTGAATTGTTCAAGCCACAGGTGAGGTACTAATAATGCTTGTTATTACTGATGAAATTTGTTTAGGGTTTCCAATTCCTAGTTAGTTTAATGGCTATATCCTAATTGAACTGTACCTATTAAATAGTCTTAAAAAGCCCCATTTACTTCATGCCATCATTAGCCTATCTACTTTATTTGGTTCAAATCGTTTTTTTAGTCTGGTAAAAATAAATGCTTTATTCCCAGTTTTCCAAGAAATCTAAATAGAAAAAGACTGACCAGATAAGCAAAATAAGGTATTTAAGCCTCTGAAGGCACTTTATTGTAGCAATAGAGTCATATCTTTTACAGTTATAATTTTTTGCATGTCATGTTTCATTACAATAAGAAAAAGTTTTTGTCTGTGATGCTATTTGAAGACGTGCCTATGTCTGGGCGCTCATTAAGGGTGGTGTAGAGATTGAAGTTTTTTGGATGAAGATTGGAGATATCTAAGCTTAAATCCCTGATGGAAATTTACTGAATAACTGGGAGAATCACTCTTGCTCAACCTAACCACCTTTACAGGATGGTTTCAATTGGGATAAAATGGAGATAATCATGCAAACTGCCTTGAATTCCTGAAAAGGCAAGATTAACAATAAAAATGAATTGTCAAAAATCATGCAGAACGTCTACTTGGAGGTAGAGGGGATGGATTTGGGAGGTGCAAGTTGTACATTGAAGCCTTAACATTTTAACTTTTTTTGTACCTGTTGGTAGCTGAGAAATATTTTAATATTGTTAACACATTTTCACTGCATATCCTAAAATGTTGCTATCTTCAATTAAAAATTTCTTACAATACTTAATTTCTAACAAAATTATTTAATCTGTTTAAATATTTTTCAAAACCAGTGAAACTCAATAATTTGCATTTAAAGTGGTTGAGCTTTTATACCTTTGTAAAAAAAAAAAAGCTAAGAAAAACCATTAGGTTTTGTATCCTTGGAGATGTTCTTCCTACAACCTCTGACACAAATGTTGAATTAAGTTTCTTTCAAATCAAATTGACTTCTGGTTAACTTTATGGACACATCTAACAAAATTATTGTTTTTCCTTACAATTCAGAAGTGGTTTGCTATTACCTTTTCATATTTTTTTAAAAAATCTCTCAATGTAACCAACAGTAGGTCTCCAATTCACCAGGTCTTTCAGGCAAATTATCATTTGCTGAGTGCTGGTGAACTAATAACCTCTCTTATTTAGCACTGTAAAAGCTTTTGAAAACATATATTTAATATGTTTATTTATACAGTATTTTGCAATTTGACAGTTCGAATCTCACCAGGCTCAAGGTTGACTCAGACTTCCATCCTTCAGAGGTGGTAAAATGAGGACCCAAATTGTTGGGAGAAATATGCTGACTAAAATCATTTAGAGAGGGCTGTAAAGTTGTATATAAGTGCTATGCTATTGCTATTATATGTGGACATTCTCTTACAATTTAATTCAATCTGCAATTACTCAATACTATTTTTTAATCTAGCCTCAACCTATTTTGAAGACTGACTTCTGACATGCATATAGTTTCACATGCGTATATTTTGAGGGGAGGAAGATAAATCTCCACAATATTATGGAAGGTACAGTGCACAGGATTTAAAAAAAACTTAATTTAAAATGTTACCTTTTCTTTTAAGGTAAATTGGGATGAATACCTAGATTTGCATTAGAAGAATCCCAACTCTAAAAAAAACATCATTTCAGCCCTGCACCATGTGATGACTGAGCACCATAAAATGTATTCAACACCAATACATGTCTTTAAAAAATTAAAAGAATACCATTTCCATAGAGAAAAGTGGGGAGACCAATACTGAGGCAGACTTACATAAAGGAGATTGCAAGTCAATTCCAGAAGTAATCATTGGGACGTGTATCAAAGTGTGCAGAATGATCCTCAAGAATGGGCACCAGTAGAGAAAAATATGGCTGAAATTGATGCTTCTGGCGGTTTTTTCACAGACGGGGGGGGGGGGGCAGTTTCATGCTGCCTGGATCCTGCATATGCATGGATAGGGCTTCGCTCCTTTGCGCAGCTGGATTCCTGGCAGGCCGTGGACCAGGGGTTGGGGACCCTTCATATCTATTAATTAGTCAACAAATGTATTCAGGAAAGTCTGAAGCAAATATGATCTGCTTTTTCTATTATTACTCTCTAGTAGCTGTATTTAAAGGCCTTTTGAGATCAGGCAGTTAAAACAGTCATCAAGATTAATAGCAGCTGATAGCCTAGTTGTCCCTTAACTTTTCCAGGAACCTTTAACACCATCTGCAATGGCTAAGTATCACTCTCAGGAACAAATTCCAGAGACGCTTCTAGGAAGCCAGACTTGGCAAACACAGCAGATATTGAGCAGAATAAATACACATAAGATTGCACTAAAACCTGTGAGAAGTAACATCTAAACAACCTTTTTTTGGTGCCTTCAACTCAATGTTGGCTCCTGATGATTTCCTGGACTAGTCCCTGCAGGGTTTTGGGGGGCAAAATTTCAGAAGTGGCTTGTCATTGCCTGCTTCCTAGGACTGACCCAAGGCTATCCCGCTTTAGACTTAATGTGGAATAAGAACTACAATCTCTGGGTTTCTACCCTGGTGCATTTCCCATATCAAATGGCTCATCTCAACCCTCATCATACCAACTGCCATACCTAATAGAAAGAAAGGTCTATGCATCTTGGCAAATTTCCTTTGAAAATTCTTTCCTTCCAAGGACCTTCAATTGAAATAGATTCAGGTGCATATTCTTTGCTTATGTCAGACCAAGATATCAGAGCATGAAACCTGCCCAAGACATACATTCATCCTTTGTTTAGACTTAAGCCTTTTTATTTCTCACTGCTTTGGTAAGGAACCTTCCCTCTTTCAAAGCTACCCTTCTTACTGCTTACATTTTAAAGAAATAACATGCTTTTCCAAAACTGATTTTATTTGTTGCAATTATTTTTAATAGCTGTTTTAAGGGAATATTTAAATCTTATATCATGTTCATGTATTTTATGATCTGATTTCATGAGCTACTTCTAAGATAGATCAGTCTAAGAAACCAATGCCATATAGAGATAATTATCTTTATTGTAACAGTTAAAAGTACCATAATCTTTCAAGTCTGAATGTGCTTCTCTCATCCCTCAGTTTATCTTCACATGAATTAAGAGTTCCATTTGAGACATTTGCTCAAATACATTTATATTTTTTATTTATTGGAATGGGATTATGCCACATTTGTCTCATTTTTGCCTCAGCAGTGGCTCTTCCTCCTGTCCTTCAAGGTCCCTCTGTATGCCCTTCACTTTTGTCTACTTTCTGTAAAAAGTAAGACATTATTTGATAATGTCTTATCAAAGGAAGGAAATTAATGCAGTGGCAGACCATACTTTCCATGCACAGAATTATAGTTGTGCTGCATTAGTCCCAGCTGTACATGTTGAACTCGAGAAGAAATAGAACACAACAGATAAGTCGTCACTGCAACAGTATACTGTCAAATATTTCAAGATACACAGAGTGCATAGCAAAAGTAATCTGGTTTAAATAAATTATTTTAATTTTTAGTGAAACTTTTTAAATGTTTGCAATACCAATTCACACCTTGTATAATGAATTTATGATTCATGACCCAAGAATTCAGAGCATTCCAGAACCAATGGGAAATTTCCTAACAGACATCATCTGCCTTTTCCAGTAGTGGAAAAACTGAATAAACCACTACAAAGCCTACTAAAAGTAAGCCCAATGTTTCCTAGCAAATAGTATTCGGAGGCACATTTGCATCTTAACAGTATATAGTTGAAGCTGTACATCCCAGAGACTCTCTGGCAAGAAAAACAATACTATAGAACCATTTTGTATCAGTTTTCAAAATCCTAAACCAGCTGAGCCTCATGGACAAGCCAAGACTTTCTGCTGTTGTTTGACATGAAGGTTTAAGAGTTTCCAATGGGACTGATGACTCCATGTATTTTTTTGTTACTGGTAGTGAAGCCCTCCTCCAGTGCAATGCTCCTGGACACCAACAGGAGTGAGTATTGCTGTCTCCCTCTGGGTCCCTGCCCCACCCTTTTACATTTAAAAAGTTTCAAATCAAACAAATGCAACGGTGGCCAAGTGCAAGCAAAGATTCCAGCATAATTTTGATTTGCAAGAACGGGTCTGAGTCATCAGTGGGCCCAATACCTCTTCTTTTAAAAAAGGTAAAACTACTTTTGGAATGGTGTCTTGCAAGGCACGAGGAGGATCAAGCAGGATGCTGATAAAACATTATTTTGTACCTGCTTATGGGCCTCTGGCAGCCATTTTATGAGTAGGCAGCCGCCCCCCCCCAACCTCCAGCCATTTTGCAAGGACGCCCCCACTACTACATTAACAATCCCCAGCACCGCAGAGACCCCTCGTGCTTTCTCCCGGCCGCAGGACATCAACCCGAGGCGCTGCGCGTCAAGACACGGGAGGGGGCGCCCACGCGAGGACGAAAAAAGCCGATTTCCGCAGACCGAGGCGAGGAAGGTGACTGGCGAATAAGCCTCGTTCGACTCCACTTCGGAATCGGATCTTCGGCGCTGTTCCCGCCTTGCCCTTCACAGCCGCCCGCAGTCCCGCCCCGGGAGGAGGCGGAGAAGCAGAGCAAGGTCAGGCGAGCCTTCCGCGGGCGTCCCTCTCCTTCGCTGGCTTCTAGGGCGCCATGAGCGAGCATCGCGGCTGTTGTTCTGGACCGTACGGGCCGGCGAGGCCGGAAAGCAGCGAGGTAAGCGGGCGGAGCGACGCCGTTGGGCCTAAGAGCCGGCGGCGGAGGCTTTTTGGAGCAGGGACTTCAACTCCCAGAATTCCTCAGCCAACTTTGCTGGCTGAGGAATTCTGGGAATTGAAGTCCACAAGTTGCCACGCTTTGGAGGACGCCTCTTTCGGCAGAGCGGCGTATCAGAGCGCGTCGGGTCAGGCGGGCTAAACGCCGCGGTGGAGTTGGCCCGTTTTCTTGGGAGATCCATCTCTACGATTATTTTGGCACTTCTGAATGCCGCATGCGGGACCCGGCTTAACAGCACGTGCCAGAAACTGACCGGCGCTTCTGGGGTTTCCGCTCCGCCTCTTAAGAGATCCCCTGTGCACCCCAAAAGGGCTCCAACTTGCCTTCAAAGCTAGGCATCTAGATCTTAGATTCTGATTCTGTGGTGGCAATTTGTAAGTCTGCAAGTAAAGCACAATTCAATTAAGTACTGTATACAGTGCAAGCTGTCTAAGGTCAATACGCAGTAGTAGCTTTCCATGTCTTCAGGACATCATCCAGTCTTCACTGAAGTAACAAAAAGCTCCATGTTAATGTTATTTTGGCCCAACAATGGTTGGGTGAATGTAGAAGATCTTAGTAAGGAAATGATCTCTAGGAGTTTTCCCAGACATTTGAAGTTTATTTAGGCTTTAAACTGTTTACATGAATCCAAAGGTTGATGGCTGAGCTGCTATTTACTGTGTATCTATAGTACTGGCTTCCAGCTTTTAGGTGGGACAGTAGACATTGAAAATGCCTGGGATTGACTTAGTTTCCCCAAATGCTTTAAGATCTGGGAGTTGTGATTACAAAGCTTGTCTTATTGCAACATAAAGCGAGTCCCCTCAAATGTACTACAAGAAAGCTTGTGCTAAAACTGTACATCAGAGTTGTGGTGTTGCTATTGTTATCTTTCTCGGCATTGCACACTTTCAGTGAACCGAAAGTTGTATTTACTCAGTGTGTATGTTGTCCTCATCAAGATGGTCTTTCAGTGAATCAGTATCTAACTCAGAACCTCCATGCCGGGATGGTTTCTGGATTGAGAAACAAAAGATTAATATAATTGATATTTAGATTAATAGGATCTGCCTTGCTTTTCTTAGATGAAAGTTAAGGAAAATCAGGGGTGTTGTTGAAAATAGCACATGTATGATTTCTTGCTCTTTCTTTAGGGGTTGCCCTCAGATGGACTTGAAAATGACTTAAAATCAAATGAGGAACCTCTCTTAAGGAAGAATCCCCATCGATTTGTCATCTTTCCAATCCAATACCCTGATATATGGAAAATGTACAAGCAGGCTCAGGCTTCTTTCTGGACAGTAGAAGAGGTGAGTTGGGCAGAAGGCAGGTTGCACAGGTGACAATCACTAACCCAAGAATAAGCTGCAATGTCAGCCTAGAGACTATGCGGGTAGTCCTCAACTTACAGCCACAATTGAGCCTAAAATTTATGTTGCTAAATGAGAAATTTAGTGAGTTTTGTCCCATTTTACAACTTGGCTTGCCACATTTGTTAAATGAATCACTGCAGTTAGTAACACTGTTGTTAAGTGAATCTGGCTTTTCCATTGACTTTGGTTGTCAGAAGGTAATAATGGATGATCACATGGCCTTGGGACATTTCAACCATCATAAATATGAACCAGCTATCAAGCATCTGAATGTAAAACCACATGACCAGGGGATTTACTGCAATCATCATAAGTGTGAAAAATGGTCATAAGCAACTTTTTTCACTGTCGTCGTAAGTTTAAACAGTCACTAAACAAACTTGTGTTGTAAGTCAAGGACTGTCTGTATTTTCTTTCTCTGTCCTATCTTGGGACCATCAGAGTATGACCAATGACACCATGATTTCTGCAGAACTTAAACGTTCATTCTGCCTCTTAAACTTTAGCCTTAGAAGTAAAAGCTTGAAGTGTTCTGGACTGATTTTTCTGGGCATTGCAGACAGGATTTGGGAAGCTACGTATGGATTATTCACCCCATGCCTAATACTGGCAACAGTGTTAGCAACACGAAAATGGCTGAATACCAGAGGGAAAGAGTTTTTTTGTGAAAAGAATATGATCAGCTTCTAGCAGAAATCACAGATTTCTACCCAGAGCGTAGGTAATCCTTTATTTCCATCTTGGCAGAAAAGTGACTTTGCACCTTGGTCCATATGATGAAACTCAAAAGCCTACAGTAGATCCCTCAAGACCTAACAAGTGAAAAATCCCTGATATATTTAGACCATAAAGCAGCCAAGAGAGGGAAGCAAAGGTGCAGAAGAAATTCTGTTCACTAATCTGATATTCTACTTCACACACTTTCCTTACATTTAGGTTAAGATGCTTTTAAGAAAGAGTCAGTTCCTGTTATAAAAAGGCAGTCACCATTGCAAACAAACAAAACAAATGCACTGTCTGCTTGCATGAGCAATGAAGTGTTTGAGGGATTTGTTTACTTGTTTTTGTTTTCTGTCATTGATAGAAGGGATTTCTGGAATAGATCATACAATAAGTGGCATTGCTTTTCCGTCTCCATTAGTGGCAAGTTATGTATAAACCTAGGCAGAGAATTTCTAGTAAACCAGTGTGTCTACTCATCAGGTAACCACCAGATGATTAGGACACAACTCCCAATTATCCACAGACCCCTCCTGGCAGAGGACGGTGATGGTAATAATAATCCATTACATGCAATAATAATCCATTACATTACAAGACTCCACCAGGGAGAAGATGGTTAGAAGCCAGAAGAATCTGCAAAGGCAATGAAAAGAAAGTCAAGATGGCAGGAAGAGCTATATAATAGAAGCCCCACCCTTTTTAATGTATACTATAAGACATGGAAAAAGAACGGGACTTTGGTAAGGTTGCAGCTACCAAATTTATCAAAAATACCTCCCTTCCTGTGAATGCCCCTCTTTGAACTTACAGGATATATTCTCTTAGACATTTATTTTGCTTTTCAGAATTATCAGTAACAATGACAATTTCAAGTCTGTAATCTGTATTTCTTTCTTTCTTTTTTTTTGTATAGGTTGACTTGTCAGAGGATGTTATTCATTGGAACAACCTAAAACCAGAAGAGAAATACTTTATTTCGCATATCCTAGCTTTTTTTGCTGCCAGTGATGGAATTGTCAATGAAAACTTGGTGAGATGCTTCCTGTGACATAGCCTCTAATATTTTGATGCTGTGTTTCTTTTTCATTGCATGCAATCAAACATCTATTCGTAATTGTACTTTGCATGTATTAGTTGTCCATCATAAGGAGCATTGTGGATATTTTCCTATAAGTACTTTACTTTTAATGAAGCTTGTACTAATCACACTGACTTTCAACTGCTTTTTGGGGGGGAATCGTATATATGTATCTCATATTTGCTTTACCCAGAGATGCTCTTTTGGGAGAAGACAGTCATTTATATAAGGCATTGTGGTCTAGTGCAGGCTTTGAACCCGGTCTTACATGGACATTTAGATGTCTGACTTCTTTCCTTGACAGGTAGAACGTTTTAGCCAAGAAGTGCAAATCGCAGAAGCTCGCTGTTTCTATGGCTTCCAGATATCAATAGAAAATGTTCATTCTGAGATGTATAGTTTGTTAATAGACACTTACATCAAAGACCCCGAGAAAAGGTAATTAGTGTAAGTATTACCACTATGTAGAGGACTTAGGTATTTCTTTGTTTGTAATTTTCATGTCTAGTCTGGTCTAGGTGTAATGGGAGACCATGGTTTAACATTGCAAGGACATATCAGTGGAAATTTGTAATTTTTTTTATGCTTATATGGGGGAGAGGAGGAGTTTTTGCTTGATCTTAAGAAAATCAGTCTTTGCTCTAACTTTTTTAATGTTATTTTTATCCTGTCTTTTATTATGTTTATACATAACTAAAGGTGGCAAAGATATTTAATATTCCATCCTACTCCTATTTTCCACATAACAACAATCCACTGAGGTTGGTTGGGCTGAGAGAGAGTGCTGCCTCAAAGTCATCCCCCGCCAGCTTTCATGCCTAAAGTTTTAATTTCTAGCCTGGTGCCTTAACCATTAGACTATACTGGCTTCAAGCAATCAAAGTTAAATTAAGAATACTAAATTACAGTCTTGGGCGCTGGCTTATTTTCACTAATTATGATGGGCCCAACTGGTGTCATTAGAAGCGAAAGCATCGGCTTTTCGCTCCTGGAGAAATGGAGAAGAAATTGGAAAAAATTGTTTGCGTTTAACATTCAGAACTCATATAGTTGTGTCACCCATGTGAGTCACTTCCAGGACGAAGTATATGAAGATCCTTTTTGTGATTAGATAGCAATTCCTTGAAAACATTTGATTTTTAATTTTTGTTCAAACTGCAGAAGAGATTTCTAGCATATGCCGGTGTAGTGTCAGAAGATCCTATATCAGTGAGAAATGAAGATGCTACATTAAAAGCATTCTTGCTAGCCTTGGATGTAAGCTAATTTGTCACAGCAAGTGACAAACAATGCTTTTGTGTCAGTCTCGCGACCCAGATTTACAGTCTTTTGGTTTTCCTCCATTCCTCTTTCCTCCTTCCCCATCTTTTCAGGGACTTTTTATTTAATGCTATTGAAACAATGCCATGTGTCAAGAAGAAAGCAGATTGGGCGATGAGGTGGATAACAGACAGAGAAGCCACTTTTGGTAGGTGTGCCTCCATTGTATGTGTTCTCCATGGAGTGAGAGTGGGGGGAGCAGCTGTGGATCAGAATGGGGTTCACCAGGCTTTGGGGCATTCTGATGAATCAGTATTCTAGCAGTAATTGAGTAGATTGCAGGAACCCAGTCACATGCTCAGTGAAAAAGGGGTAAGGGTGTTGTCAAAGCCCTGCCCCTTTTCTACATGCAGCAACATCACATGCAAATACAAAAGAGGTGGAGCTTTGTGTGGTCAGGGCCATCATCTTGACTTTTGGGATTTCTCCCAGTCTTCTCTGATTGGAAGAAAAAGGAGAGACTGAAGCATATTAATAATTATGGGCTGGATTTATATGACACCCATTGAACCACAGACTATTTTTTAGTTCTAGTGCATTATATGAACCTGGCCTCTCTGATTAGTTCATAGTTATGTGTGTCATGTGAACCCATGAAATTGGGTTAATTGAATAAACAGTAGTTCAGTTAATCATTGGTAAGTGTGTTGTGTGAACAGAGATTTAATTTCTCCCTTTGCAGTCCTTGTTTGAAAAGTCTTAATAACATAATAACTGGAAGGATCTTTCTGTTCTGTAATCTGCAAAGTTGGCGAGGTTCAGTAGGTGAGAAGCCAGCTTGTTCAACTACACACACACACACACACACATTCAAAATCAATTCAGGGAGTCAAATAATGTCCACAATCAATAGATGGCTTCTCACTTACTGAACCTGGCCACATACTGTATATATAGATGGTTCCTCTAAGCATGTGAGTATTTCTTATGCCAGGAGGAGCAAATATAATCCAAGATCATACATTTAGAGATAGACAATAAGCTTTGTAAGTCAGGGCATTTTTACTTCCATCCCAAATTGATGAAACCTGCTAACATTCATTCATTTTTTTCAAATGCTCTTTACTCTGAAATTTGGAGGGCAACCAATTTTCTTTAAGTTAAAGTGTTATTTGTACTTATGAGATGCTCATAGGTATGACAGTAAAATAAACCTTTGCCATTCCAGTAGAGTCTACATTTACATATATTTCTTTAATCTTCTCTACATCCTAAAAGTTGATATCAGCCTCTTAAATATATGCAGATTCCAGAAGTCTCTGTATTAAAGCTATTCCTTTGGGTAAATCAAGCAATTAACAGGTTTTCTAAAATATCTCTTTGGAATTAACAGGACAAACCAAATGAGACAATGTCCAGAGTATTCATACAAGATACAGTAGATGCTGTTTCCTTGTTATTGAGATTGTACCTTAATTAACATTTGGAAGACTTGTGGCAGAGGTGGTATTCAGCAGGTTCTGACCAGTTCTGGAGAACTGGTAGCGGAAATTTTGAATAGTTTGGAGAACCTGTAAATACCACCTCTGACTAGCCCCGGCCTCATCTATTCTCTGCCTCCCGAGTCCCAGCTGATCAGTTGGGTCTTCTTTTGTTGCCCTGCACAGGAGAATGGAGCTGGGAAGCAGGTTAGTGGGGTGGGGAGGGAATGGGATTTTGCAGTAACCTTCCCCTGCCACGCTCACCAAGCCACGCCATGCCCACCAGGCCACGCCCACAGAACCAGTATTAAAAAAATTGAATCCCACCACTGGGTTGTGAGTTTTGTCAGTATTTCCCACCTTCTGTGCTCCAGATGCATTTACCTCACACCCTGGCTGAGTAAAATAGGAGAAAACTGTTTTATTCTTTTCTTCAATTTGAAGAAGTTCATTGTCTGATAACTTAAATTTTTTTGATTTTGTTGAAACAGGTGAAAGAGTGGTTGCGTTTGCTGCTGTAGAAGGCATCTTCTTTTCTGGTGCTTTTGCAGCCATATTTTGGCTCAAGAAGAGAGGGTTAATGCCAGGCCTTACTTTCTCCAACGAACTTATTAGCAGAGATGAAGTAAGGTGTGGGGGAAAAATATATAAATAAGGTTAAATATGATGCTCTCAGAGAAGCAGTATTACTTGTCTTATTTGTGAAGAGTTGCACAGTCTACAAATGTAATTTATTATGGCTGGTTGCACAGTCACCTGATGTTTAGACTGGATTTGGCACTTTTATCCACCTAGCAAGTACTTCCCAGGGTCCTGGGATAAGCAGATGCTTTTAATGGTGTTAGAGTATGGTTGTAGGATGTAAGCTATTCCAAGTAAAACTGCCTTTTGCAATTAACTGATGGGGATTGTTACTGTTTTGAAAATGATGATGATTCATACATCATTAAAATCTGAAATAAAATCCACAGAATGCTGTTTAACAAGAATATTGTTAATGCTACCATTTTTTTAAATACAGCAATATATTTGAGAAAACACATTTGTTTTCTCAAACACATTTCCCAATTCTACCAATATTTTTAGGAGTTGGGTATTTTCCCAGTCCACAACCATACTACTCTTGTAGTTATAACTTGTGAATTAGAAATGTCATAAACTGTATTTGCAAGGAATAGGGGTATGCAACGCAAGTTTCTGAATTAAGCAAGAGATGTCCAGAGTCATCTTAAATATAGACAAAATTAATGCATACGTTAAGTTTTAAAACACATTTGAAATAGTTGTTGTTAACATACATTGTTAATGGATTATATTAACTTTTCAAAAAAACGCAAAGGCTTAAAGTAGTTTTTACATTTAAAAAATTGTCTTCTGCTTTTTAAAAAAAAGATCAATTTCTTATGTTTCTGTCCTATTTATTTCTTTAAGGGGCTTCACTGTGACTTTGCTTGCCTGATTTTTCAGTATTTAGTGAATAAACCTTTGGAGGAAAGGGTGAAAGAGATCATTGTCAATGCAGTTGAAATTGAAAAGGTGAGGAGATTTTGCCTGGACGTAGTTGTGATGAACCTCAAAATAATGTAGGCTGTGTTTATAAGACCATTTGGCCTACTATGATGAACTTGAGGGACTCAGTTGTAATTTTCTGAATTTTCATAATACACACCTTAATATGGCCATCTGAATTGGGTTAACAAATCCTGTAGGTTAAAATGTGGTGGATTAGTTGTGATTTAGTGGGTTAGGCAAACAACCACCCTACCCAAGGTTTATATTCTTGTGATTTGCTGCTGTGATTGCTCAAGAATGCATTGCATGGAAGGACAGGTCACTTACTTGCTGAATGAGGTACAATTGGCTGAGCTCACACAATATTCTAAACCAGGGGTCCCCAACCACCGGTCCACGGACCGGTACCGGTCCGCGGAACAAGTCTTACCGGGCCGCTGGCTTGCTGGTCGCCGCCATCTTTTTTTGGTTAAAAAGTGCTTCCGGTGAGCTTTTCCGGGTAGAAAGCTCACCGGAAGCACGTTT